AAAATAAACGACCTCACAAAATGATTTAAACAGATGAGAATAACGTTCGCGTTAGTGACAGCCATTGTAACTGTTTGGAAATTGCACGGTATGATCTCGTTCTCTTTGATAAGTATCAACGAGAGCGTACGGAATGGAGGGAAAATGTGATCTAGGTGAATCGAAAGTTCTTGAGTTTCGCTGACAAATTCAATCTTGTATCAGATCGAAAAAAGGCGCCTAATCAGTTGATGAAATATTCGATCCAGATACTTCTTATCTCCTTCTGAAGCTTCAAGAGCCATCGGTGAAATCATAATAAGTTGTAATTTCCTGCAAAATCGGACAGTATCTTCCCATATGAATGCATGACCACTATTGCTATAAGTTCTAATTCATCTGGTGCTAGCAAAACAGCCAATTGACTTTGAATAACTGAGCTTGAAGATTTTTAACTATTATACAGGAGAATCAAACTGGACAAACTCAAACTGAATTGGTTCGTATCAACTGAGCACATGTGAAAATACAATGCATAAAATGTACATAAACGATAAAAGGATTTATTTTCAAAAGAAATATTTTACTATTCGCAAGCCAATTATCATATTCGATATCACAAAATGAAATTGAATGAAACGAACGAAAACAATCGGCAAATGCACAACGAAAGCAACAAAATTGAGATCTGTTGTTTCTGTATCACACATCAAGCATATTCTCGTATTATCGTATACTTATCGTATGTGATCGTTGTGTGTGTTGATTGAAGCGAATTTCTTAGTTTAGTTACAAAAGGTATTGAAAGATAGTAATAATAATAATGATAGCAATAATATTACAATACAAACTAGACATCTGCATCATTTGTTGCAAACGATTCGAACAAATATCGACCGTCATCAGAAGAAGATTATTTCACTTGTTCGGATTTTTTTAGTAAAAACAAAGTTCCTTTTTTCTGTTAAATTCATTGAAAACGCTCTGAACCATACAATAAAACATGATGACAACATGCTGTCGTTCCATTTTGAAGTGGAACAATGACAAATACAGTAACGTTGTCAATGATATGAATTCGTTAACTTATCATCTCAACGATACTATCAGTATTACTTACCTATACGTCTCACCCTAACTATTGCTGCTCAATTAACTACTACCTGTATTTTCCTTTAAACATGCCATATATCGATAAAATTCGATCAGTTTCGAGCATTATGAGTCCATCTTTTTTTTTGTAACAAAAATACATAAGATGGATTCATAATGTTCGAACGAAATAAATTTTTCTTCAGGTGCATTCATCGTATTTGGTGAAATATTTCAATAAATTCCAAAAAATCAACAAATGATGCAGACAGATGTCTAATATGAACAATAAGAGTAATGGGAAGTGCAATAATGACAGTCAATAACAATGTTAATAAGAATGGCAACATTTTAGAATTTAATCAAAAAACAAACGGACACACAAATGAGATGATAATATCAACACCAGGGCGTATTACCGGTGAGGATGGTGATGTGATTAAGTAATGCTAATGGCCACAGCAATGATGACCAATGGAGTGACGAAATAATGGGATGACACTCTAAACGGATGGGCAAGAAATGAATCGTGTGACAAGAAGTGAGTGTGACATGAAAATGAATTAATTTAGAAAAAAAAAGGAAAAAAGAAACATTAGGAAATCGCTACTGAGGGTAACCGGCTGAATGGCGTTCAGTTCAGATACTTTTTGAGAATTCGAGCGAATGCAGAGTCTGAGAAAATTAGAATGTTCCTAGTTTGATAGAGTCCGAACTCATACTTTTTTAGGTTATCAAAAAGAGAAAAATATCCAAATCAAACGTGTAACCTTAAAAATTAGAGTGTAGCACTTTGATTGAAAACATTTTACAATGAAAATAATTGTTGTATGGTGTGCATTTTATAGGGTAAATTAACGAAAAAGACGATAATACTAGTGATAGTATCAATAATGATAATGAGCAAATAATCACACATGGATTTTCATCATCTTCGTATGGACTTGTTCAGATCGGATTTTAATACAGATCATGACTGATAATCAATCGGTGATGAGTTTTACTGTTCAATAGTGAACAGCGAATGACTGCCGTATGATCACTGAAGTTATAGCAGGCTCAGGTTCAGGATAAATAGGCTCAGGCTGAGGTTGGCAGTCGCGCATTGAAGTGAGCCTAAACTGATGATGGTTGAACATAGGCCCAGATTGATCAGCTCATAATATACGAGTAGTTCATTCAGTATCTTCTGTCGAATAGAAATCAATCGCCGAATGACATTCTTTCTCCACCGATCGTTTCTTCCGTATATCATCCGAATTCCGTCGTTCACCCAATCTGCAAACAGCCAATCAAGATTTTATACATGTCAATGGAATGCTTTGATGCGATCGATCGTTAACTCGATATTCCTTTGAATTGCTATCAAAATTTCATCATATACCATCTCAGAAATATTTTCCTTCGTGGAAAATGTTAACTTGGTGAAACTGAGAGCAAAATTGATCAGCGTCTTCTTGATGATTGCTTACTCGTAAAATTGCTTGCGGTCCAGAAAAAGATACATCGCATTTTAGAGTAACAGAACATAGAAAAACAAATGGAAGGATGTGATAGTTTAAGTCATGACCACAGGTTACAATTACAAGAATGCCGAAGAATGAACTGTTCATACATATATGTGAAAATCAAGAGTGGTACATGGAAGGTTGAGCGTAACTCTATAATGTTTATCGATTCTCAGTGTACAAGTCCATGTACTAGCCTTAAAAAACATCAATGGTATGCAAAGTTCTAAAATTTTCAAGTTAAAGTGAAAAAAAACATCGTAAATCATTAGGCAGATTTATAATAAATGACAGACGTACCTTGAGAGCGATTTACCAATTCGAGACTTCAACACTCTTTTCTTGATGCTGAAACGTTCCTCATCGCTGTCTGCAGTACCCGTGTAGTCGTCGTCAACGGCCAGCGGTGCTGTGGATCGTTCACGTAGCTCACGTTCTCGACGTCGCCAGCGTTTCCACGTTGGTTTACGTAACATTGTTGCCTAACGTTTCGTTACGTTTCACAGTCACTCATTTAAGTTTACGTGAAACGTGAATCACTCTCATGCACAACAAATCATTTTTCCCGTTCAATTCACTTTTTTTACATCGCGCAAATATTCCCTTCAGAAAGGAAACATTAACGTTCGTTAGATCGTTAGAAATTTTTGCTCCTTTGAACAATACAGGTTGCCTTATGGGGGCAATATTGTCCCCAATGGGCGAAAACCATAACTAATTGGTCCAGTAATGGTAGCCAGCCGGAACAACGAAATGAAATTGTGTTGTGCATGATTTAAGCATAGAGAATAAATGAAAGGACTGCTCCTGAATGTAATTACGCCTTCATAAACGTCGACATTCTCAAAAACTCAGTCCCACATCGTGTCAAAAAAATCAAATTTGATTCATCACATGTTGCAAATTTTCTTGATGGAATAGAAGTTGACAGAAGCAGAGTGCTTCAGACACTCAACTAATCGGAAACTTGCTTCCCAGAAGAATAAGGGAACGGGCTGAAGGGAATCGATGAATGCATGAATCAACTACCGGAGGTATTAATTTCAGAACAGAACCTGGAATCCCGTCGACGAATTTGACGTCTACCATCTGGAATCAATAGAATATCGACTAATATTACATAAACAAGGGCACAAATTTGTAATTTCCTAGTGGCGAGGCTCACAAATCGCTCGTTTCAAATGCTTTGTGCAAACTCATCAATAAGC